AAAGAGTGAATAATCCAGATGGGACTTCAGACTCAAGGCTGAAATTCAGGAACAAGCTCTGGTCAGAGGTGGATACAAACCTTGAGCTGGGGTGCACCATCAGCACCCCATGCAACACCTGAGTGCTCAGCCCAGCTCCAAACCCTCTGGTGAACAGGGCAGCATCTCTTCAGACCTACAAGCAGTTTTCCAAGTAAGGGGATGAAGGAGGGACACCGATAACGTACTTGCAGATAGTATGAGTCTCAAGGTAGTGCAGTACCAGAGTGGTTTGGTTTTGGTGCTGCCTTCATTTCCATGGGAAGAAAAGGAAGGAAGCTGGTAAACATATCCAGGGGAATCTCCTGGGAATATGTGGTCGATGGAGCCAGCATACACTGGGCCCCACCAGTGTACGGGCTTTGTGAGCCCTGCTTAGGCTAAGAAAGGAACAGACTCCCTGTGCCAAAATCAAATGCCTGGTCCTGAAAAGATGCACATGTCATCATTTAGGAGCAATAATTTAAGTCATACAAACACATTTGAATAAGGAGGTCCAGAGGAATCTCTTTGAGAGCAGGAAGCCTGTCAAAAGAACGATCTTGCAAGCAGCAGGGCTATGGCGATTTGCAGGGTAAGCAATGTGACTTGACAGCACGGTCTCATCTCTGGGCACGGCTCATCTGATGCTAGCACTATCGCGCTGAAATAAACCACCTGGAGTCACTCCTCACAATTGCATAGCCGTCACATAAATAGCAGCCTGGTCCATGCATTTTACAGCCATTACACATATGTCCATGACATCCCGGAGTTGAACAGACCCCACCAGCCCCAACCAGCAGGCTAAGAAAGCTCTTTCTCCAGGAAAGCTGCTTTCTACTGGTGCCCGAATCAAAAAAGATCACAAGAAAAGGAACCATCTAAAACAAATGACCAGCCTAAATACAGACACATTATCAGCTCAGCCTCTCTTAGACTGCTCCCATTTAGCTAGAGAGGATGATGACAGCAGTTAGCAAAAGGTATGTTACTAAAAGCTGAGTTTCTCCTCGCAACTCAAGAGGTTTTCATTAATACAGGTCTCAGCCTAGCTCCAGTTAGAGGAATAATTATCAATTCACCTAACATTTGCATAGGGCCCAGGAGAAGCAAGTACAGCATTGTTCTTGTTAGCCACAGGAATTGACAGCTAACCACCCTCTGCAATGAATGGCATCTAAAGCATTTCCATCCCTGTGGGACCAAAAGGCCCAGCAAACTGGACAGCCTGGTTCTGCTTCCACCCTGAGACTGATGGCAGTATGCCCTGGGCGCTGGACAGTGGGTCTTTAATTGGAGAAAATAAATGCTCCAAATAAATATGTCAACTAAATAAATGACCCATTTTTGCAAACAAGTAACAACCCCAGAAACTGCCTGTGAAGCCGTGTGACCTAAGGACATTCCCCCTCCCCCTCTCTGCTTGTGCTCCCCTCATTTCACGTTAGCACCAGAGAGACCTCACCAAGTTGTCCAAGCACTAGAAGACCTATTCTCATGCTATAACCTGGGCGGGCTGTCAGCAGCATGGACCCAAGCTGGAAGATGCAGGCCTGGAGGCTCCAGGCCAGCAGGGATACAGCCACTCAAAGCACTTGCCTTTAGCAAAGGATTGCCGTATGAGTCTGGTCTGGTCTAGTCTGGGTACGCAGCGCCCCCAGCACAAGGAACCAGGGGCTCTCACTGCACAGAAACCAGGTCCCCAGGTAGCTACAGGAAGGAAAACACCCCTGCAACGTCTTTTCCCCACGTCCAAGCTCATCACCTGCCGTGGTCCCTCCACTCCTCAGCCTGGTGACCAGGCAGGAGTTTCTCCAGCATCTTCTCCAGGTTGCAGTGAACAAGGCACATCTGTGGCTCTCCTGGGGAACAGAGGTGCCAGGCCCTATAAGGAAGTATCTGTGTTTATCAGGGCCACCATTCACTTGAGCAGCTCATTTGGTAAACATGCTCTTATGCTCAGTACAGCTTCTTGCTCTTGCAAGAGTCAACCTTGCTCACTGGGGGCAGCTTTGCTTGAGCAAAGAGCTTGGGATTCGGCCCTCCCTCAGGTAGGAGAGAAGAGAAATGATGGCACATTTCACTGCATTCAACATCCCATGGTCCTTCCAGCTTCTGAACAAGGTCTTGCTGCCTCCCCAAACACTGAAGCTCTCACTCCTTGGGAAGGAAGCTGGCTCTCAAAACTACCCCATCAGCCAAACGCCGTGGCTTCAGGTATGACTGCACTTGATAGAGAGAAACTTGAAAATGGCTGTGGGATTTTCCAGCCTCCAATGCAGCTCTGGTAAAGTCTGTCCTCCCAGCAGCAGAGATGATAGCCCACAACCTCTGCCCGCTCCCAAAATGCAGGTCCCCTTTGGGCAGAAGAGCAAGTAACATCAGGTAGCACTCTCTCCTCTACCAGCCAAGCCAGCCCAAGTCCCCCTTGGACTGTGGTCAGCAGTGGCAGCTCTGCACCATTTTCAGAGAGCTTTCATCACCCCCGGCTCTGATTTCCATCCAGCCCTGCTCCTCCACTCTGCAGGGTAAATGGGGCCTGGAGATGAACGGGATGCAAATAGGAGGCGAGGTGACATGGCTGCATTTCTCCTGTTGAAGCTGGCTCTCTCCAAGGCAGCAAGAAGCGCACAGCTCGGCGGTGATAAACGGCCTTGCTTTAGTTATCACTTTCCTTAAGTTAAGGAGAGCAGCCTAGTGATGGATGGGCTGGAATTCGGTTATCAGGGAAGGCTGTCAGCCAGAGTTGCCTATCTCCACACACATTTAGCAGGGCGTCATTATGCGATGGCATCGAGTTAAAATATGACCAAGGGTATTGAAAGAAAAAGAACAGGATTAAAAAAAAAAAAAAGGCAAATTGAGCAACAATAAAGGAGCATGAGGCAAGAACGTTATCGTACTAGTGACACCTTTTATCTCGGTCTGGTTAGCTAGCGCAGGGCACAAATTGGTCCTTCCTCCACTATTGTATCCTCTTGTACAAACAGAGGCAGATAAAATGTGTCACCAGTGCGATAGCATATCAATTTAACCCTAATTATCTAGGGGGTCAAGCTAAGAAATAGGGGTTTCTCATTTCAACAGGTTCCTCGGTCTCTCCTCAGAGCCACCACATTAATATGGAAGGGGGAGGGGCAGCCATAATTGATTTCCGTCACTCAGGTGGTCCTGGCATATAAAAAATTAATGCTTGATTCTCCCAACTAATCAGAGCTGGTTAACGTCCATCTGCTTCTGGGTTCAGGATGTCAGGAGACAAAGAAATTGGGCCACTTTCTACACACTGGGGGTATTGATATTAAGCCAGTTAAAAGAACAAGTTCCTCTATGGGAAAGATAAAGGGACATTAAATCTTGGTTTTTACAGACCTGGTCTCAGCCTTCCAGAAAATCCATGCCCTGGAGACCTTGAGTTGTAAGAGATGCAGAACATTTTAATTGTGTCCCAGCCAGCCCCACTGCACTGGGCTGCAAAGGAGAGGGCAGGCAGGCTCCTGCCCTGGAAATCCTTCACTGAAGGAGGGCTGGAAAGCCCGAATGAAGCTGCTTGGACGCAACAGCACACAACAGCAACAAGGTGATAGCCAAAGAGAGGAGCTGTCAAACCGTCTCAGCCTTGCACCCTAGTTCAAAGTAA